TCAGTGTATATAAATCCATTAAATTATTATTTACTTCTTATTGCTACGCGTATGTCATTAACTAAAAAACAAAATATTTTATATTTATTTTTTTCTTACAAACTTATAAATACAAAATTTTAATTGTGTAAAAGTAATTCTTTTGAATATATCATGGTAGTGAATTGAAGACTGATTTTTTAAAATATTTTTCCATGCAAATTTTGATTGTTTATGCTTCAAAAAGCACTTCTAATCATGTTTAGTACACATTGAGATGGGAGTGCGTTACTGGGATTACACCCCACTGTCATTATAGTGGTCTTCATTTATCCACAGTGAGGAACATAATGTTATTGAAAATACTTGTCATACAATTATAGATTCAATAGGTAACGATTACGGCGCGAGACAGACCAACGACGGGTTGATCACCATGGGGGAGGAGAATGCGGCAGGAACGTACTACGTGTTTATGGAAATTAATACCACCGGCGAACACATCGTTTCAACGCCCCTGTCCGAACCGCTAACATCTTGAGTATTGCCGCACAAATACGTGTGCGTAAAATTATTAATCCTGCCATGGAAATGGAATTTTATAACGGCTTTTTTACTTGACTCACAAGCGCAGTTATATAACACTCGAGCAATATCCCACAAATTTGGAATTGTGTACAACGGACCAACACACGTGGTTAGACTATAGCAGACGGCAAAACATTGCCCACTCTCAGCACCACTAATTTTATAGCAAACATTAATTCTACGGCTGTTATTAAGGAGAATCTGTACTGTGACGTACTCCTAGGACACAACTCTCTAACAAAACCGGAAGTCGCTTGGAACTACGCTGCGTGTACAATTCACCTAAGCGAGACGCGACGCACTACAGCTTATTGGAAGGCGAGTCCCTAGCACACTCTATCTGACGTAGATATCTCAACACTAGATATAGCAGGCGCTACCCTTGGACCTAGTCCGACGGGTGGCATATGAGAAGGACACTTATGTGTGCATCTTCTCGGACCCGTATGCCGGTTGATTCTTGGATAGGTTCGGTAGAGCTGCAATCGGCGTGATGGAACGCGGCTTCTCGGTCGCGGTCATCGAGCGGGTGACTGTTACGTAGTAGCGAGTATAGATGGCATCAATGTCTTGAGCTGCTACACGCCGCTCAGCTTGCCAATCGCCGGACTCCTCGTGTCCGTCTCCTCAAGACTGAGGACGAGGAGGTTAGGCCGTCCGGGGATTTCAACGACACTCCACAGTCTGGTGGACGGTGGACACGAACCAGCGCAGCGAGGACATATTGAATCTAATGTAAGCCGGCAGAAGTTTTGTCG